ACAAATAAATAATAAAATTTCAAGTTATTTGATTAAGACATGTAAAAAACACATAAACTATCAATTATCCTTTACACATAACTCAAAAAATAAATTCAACACCTAGTACATAAAGTTTGTATGCTTTTCAACAATATGCAGGTCGGGGAGGGTYAGGTTTAGCCTAACATTGTACCCTACCCATACCCATATGGGTTGTAGAATCCCAAAACCTGCCCCACCCTAAAACCCATCCTTCAAACAAAAACAACCTGCCCCATTGGAGTGGGTAGGGGGTAGGGGTGAGCAAAAAAAAACTGAAAAACCAAATTGAACCAATGAAATTGAACAAAAAATTCCAGTTAACAAAACCAAACGGTTTGGTTTTGATTTGGTATTTAAAAGAAAACCGAAGGTATCGGCTCGATTTCGGTTAACCAATATAGAAAATTGGTGGTTAACCAAACCAATCAGTATACATATATTTCTAAATATTTTATGTATATTATATATTTTTTATATATATTATATATATTATATATTTTCTATATATTATAAATTAATAAATATGCATTATATATTATTTATTATTTAAAATATAATATTTTATATGTATTTTGAGTTTTTATTATATATTTTTATAGTATATACTATAAATATAAAAAAACTAAAAAACTAATGAACCGAACTGACGATTAACTGAATTATGAACACCCCTAGGTAGGGGTGGGTACCCACCTGGTAGGGTAGAAATGGCCATCCCTGCATGATTGTTTTTTATTTGAAGAACAAAAACAATTGCCACATTAGTAAAAACAATATAGTTGTGTTGTTATAGTAGGTGTTTTGTTTTTAAAAACAAAACCAACCATATTATCGAATACTCCCTTACCTTTCACACACAAGTATATAGTGCCATTTTATAAACTCCAATAGATGGGGTGTCAATGGATTGTATTTGGGTTGAAAATCGATTTAAACAGATTAGATAGACCAATCTAGACTTAATGATCGAAAGTATTTATTGGATTGGATTGGACATGATGAACTACTATGATTTGTATTGGAATGGAGGAATATCCACCCAAACTAAATGCTCGTTGTGTGAGAACTTGGAAGAAAGTCCAAATCATCTCTTCTTGCAATGCCCCTTTGCTAGAGTAGTCCTTTTTGCTAGTCCTTGGTCTATCTCCTATCCTTTCCTTGATGTTCTGACCTATTTGGAAAGAAAAATCAATAATAAAGCTTTGCTCAATCAGATTCTTTCTTGGCTTGCAATAGCTTGATACTTCATCTAGTCAGCTAGGAATATTGCCATTTTTACAAGTAAATTTAAGAATGTCTCTTGGACTATGAGATTAATTTCCTTGGTGCCCAAGTTTGCTCTGAGCAAGAACAAGGACTAAAGAGGAATTGTTTGTAAGAATAAAGGATCTTATGGCATATAATAATATTAAGCAATAATTTTAAAATTTTGCGTGCTCTAAATGACATTAATTGATTTTGTTTGTAGCTGATGGAAGCTGAATGTATAGCAGTTAATGTAATGGGCCTTGTTGATGCTATAGGAGGAAAGCTGGAGTTTTCTGATTGGCGCCTGGAACCCTATCTTTGATAAAATTAACTGTTTGATGAAAATGTTTGGTTCTCTAAGTATTTCTTGACCTAGGGAGCAACCCCGTTCTGCTCACTTGGTAGCCCAAATGGATAAATACTCTGCTATATTTTGTTATTGGGAAAATGCTCTCAGTTCCCAATAGGTAAAGCTATTTGTTTGTACATTCTCTTAGAGGTCATTTGACAAAGTATTTTTCGAAAGATCTTCTAAAAGCTCTGATAGTTAATGCGAACTTTTGCATTAAGATCTTGATAGTCTAAAGACTGTTTGGTTAAAAAGTATCTTTCCGCACGAGTTAAGTTGAAAAAAAAATAAAATCAAAGAGCTCCATTTGAATCTTCCTAAAAATTGCCCAAAATGGATTTCATGTGTCTTTTGGACACAATGTCTTTTGGCAACTAATCGTGGGTGTTTATTGAAAGGTGCCACTTTAGCATTTCCCCCATTATTTGAATTCGTACGCATAGTGACTTATAAAAGTAGACTTCGGTTTATGTGCAAGTAATGGAGGAAGTTTCATTTTAGCACTTCACCCAACAGATAGGCATTTATTCACTGTTTTACTGATGTAGCACCTAAGTATCAATAAAACAGGTTCATCATTGCTTTTCTCATTTTTCCAAACAAATCAAGTACAAAACATTTAGTCAATAAACATCTACGGTTCTAAACACATACTAAGGAGCCATTTGACAAGTCATTTTTGAAAGATCTTCTAGAAGCTCTGACAGTCTATAGATGATGTGAATTTTTGCATCAAGATGAATTGAAAAACTTTATTTAGAACTTTTCAATCCGAAATGAACTTCCAGCATCTTTTTTGGTTATGACTTTCGACAACTAAATCTTTTATCAATCATATGAGAAAAGGCCAAAGCATAAACTGTTAGACTTTTAATAGTCCATGCAAAAAGATATGCCAAACAAACGAAGGCTGCCAAGCTTCTAAAAAGGCTTTATGGTTTCAACCCCTATTGGGATAACGTCTCTATCCTTTTATCTATCATAAAAATAATATTGTAAAACAACAAAAGTACCCCTATCAAAGCATACATGCATAGGTGCCTGTCTTTTCAAATTCGCTTTTTCTCTCTTGACAGGCAGAATAGCCGGTCTCATCCGAGACCCGATGATCTGCTCCTCACACAYGCCTGACAAGCACATYCTATCATGCATTGGGAACATCTCCCGTATTTTTAAATTATTATTTACGGGAGATGTTTTCAATGCACAGTGGATGTGTATGTGAGGCACCCGAATATGAGGAACAGATCCCGTCTCGTCTCGGATGTGTGTGCCCTCTTCGGCCTATAAAAAAACGGTAACTATTCTACTCACGATTCGCTGCAAATTCCATATTATTCAACTCGTGGAAATTATTTATTGTTGCCCGCTGCGCACAAACATGATAATTGAAGGGTTTTCACTAGATAAATAATATTTGATTGTTTTTTTTTTTTAATTCCTTGAAAATTTCATTGCAACACATCATCCAAAATTACAAGCTTGAGAAATCAGAGGTATGAATGTACTAGCCCTACGTACAGTACATATGAATTTAACAATGGAGTGTGCAGCATTGTTGCTTGGAGATCACATTTCTTCCCACCACCGTCTAGGACAAACCCTAACCCCTCGGTAATTTTTGAATACGCCAGTGTTTTACTCAAACACCAGCTTGATGTGATTTTTTCCCTATAGTAGTGATAGTGTCTATTAGCCAAGGAGAATCTAGATGAGGATCCAATAGGAGATTAATAATCTTAGGTGCATCGCTAAGTTGGAAGTAAAGAGATTAAATAACCATTTGATTGGTCACCACTAGATCTGTTTCGTTTTAAGTTGAGTTTGGTCATAATTTTAGGCCATAAGTTTGGTCTTAGGTTTTCTCAAAAAAGTTTTGTTTGAGCCCGAATTCGATTTGATACTATATATTAAATAATAAAATATATTTTATTTAATACAAAATATATATACAACATTTTTTCCTTGTTYTTATATCTTTTTTTTTTCAAGTAATAGTGAGATATTTATTATTTTTGAGCTTTGAAGGTTTTTAATATAAATAAAATACTTTTTTATTTAATAAAAAAAGAAAAAAAAAATCTGTTTTCAAATTTCTAACTGAGTTAAGGCTTAGACCCAGGCTTCAAGCTTTATATGTGGGTCAGGCTCGGGACCAAGACCTGATGGTCAGACTAGGCTTGGGATTGGGTCTAAATTTGTTCTATTAATACATAAACAAAGCCTAATCCAAACCCTACCCATGAATAGATCTAGTCACCAAGATCAAATCAGCCCCCCGCAACATCCCGTTGTATATTGGGAACATCTCCCAATGATATTACCAAAAATGATGATGTCATCATCGGGAGATGTTTTCAATACACGGTGGGAATGTGCTGTGAGACGTTGTAAGGGATAATTTTATGAAGGGCTGATTTGAATTCTTAGTCACCACTTTTAGGTAACAGTTAATTCATTACAAGTTTTTTCCCTATCATGTCTTTAAACTACAATTTTATGGGCCCATGTATCAAAATGACAATGCAAATCATGATTGACCCAATGACATATAATGCTATGATTACAGAGAATCCGGATTTTAACCTCACAAAATTTGTTCAATTGTTGTCACAATACTTCAGCCGTATATTAAAAACATGAATGAAAACATATAAATATGAAAATGTTCCCAAATGCACTGCTGCAATTGTTACAAGGATGATGCGAATACAAATTTTATGAGGACGAAATTTGAGAACGAAAATTTATGAGTACAACTGCATGTATTGAGAACATCTTCCATGAACAAGATTTTTAAAATCGAATTGGACAACAAATTGTTCAAAGGTTCGATTGCCAGGTTGAATGGTCTGATTATTCGAACCGAATGAATGATTCATTCTAACAAAAAATTAAAAAATAGTTAAAAATCGTTAGACGGTTTGAATGATTTGGCCGTTCAAGACGATTATGGATAAAATGATTAAAAATCAATGGTTTTTGACCAAAAGACGGTTATGGATAAAATGATGACCGGTTTCCGGTTTTTTAAAAACATTATCCCTGAAATGACAAAGGGCATATATTCTCATGGACGCCTACAGTGTCCTGTGGATAGGGTCATAGGGAAGCGGGAAGGGTTTATGGGGCAGGAGATAGAGATTCGAGCTCGTGTTGTACTCATCCATAATCGTCTACGGTTCTGCTCGTAAAACTGGGCTAATAGCCTAATAACGATGCACCATGCGAGATCTGTATCACGCGGGTGCTATACAAGAATGAAGTGGCGGATATTGATTGGTCATTACCATTCAGGAAAGCGAGGGTTTTCTGCGTCCACCGGAATTTTTTTTCTTGTTTTATTATTTTTTTTTTCAATTTGTCAGATTTAACGGCCAGTAACCGTCCCAGTGTTTGGAATACTCCCGCGAATATTCCTGTTTCTCTATTTCTTTCTCCTTTTAAAACTCCTCACCACCTCTTCTCCTCCTCCTCTCTCTCCACCTGTCTCGTTATTCTGGACTTCATCCCTCGGAAACCCTAGCACCGAAGATCACGAGAACATAAATGAGGCCGAATTAATGAATCCCTAGAAAATGGTGTCGATGTTGTTATCAGTGCCTGCGGTTGTTTCGACCTGTCTGTTGCTGTTTCTAGCGAACCTCGTTGGGAACGTCCGTGGAGGCATCCCAACGACGCTTGACGGTCCTTTCAAGCCTGTCACAGTCCCTTTCGACGAGAGCTTACGTGGGCATGCCGTCGACTTGCCGCCAACGGACCCTCGCCTCATCAGGCGCGTTAAGGGGTTTGAGCCGGAGCAGATCTCTGTCGCCCTCTCCGCGACGTATGATTCTGTTTGGATCTCTTGGATTACAGGTTCTCTTCTACTTCTTATTCTTGTTGTTTTTCCCTTCTCTTCCTCTTCATCCCTCCTCGTCGCTTATCTCGTTTTTCTTTTGTTTTCGTTGAGCTGTTTTGATGGGGTTGGTGGATTCGTTCTAGGGTCCTTTTCTTGTGAAAAACTYGAATATTGGGTCTTCTGGTTGTTAAAATGGTGATTAAGATCATCCAAGAAAATTTTGTCGGAAAGTTAATTAGAGCTGCACTAGTTTTGTTATTAATGGTTTTTTGGTGGTAAAATTATTTAAATGATATAGGGGTGAAAATGTTGAGTATAGTTCTACTTGTAACGTAGAAAAGTAATCCATCCTCTGCTTTTTCCATCTCTCCACATTTCTTAACCTATTGAATTAAAGATATGGATGAGTGGAACTCCCTTTCATCTTTTAATTTGCTGTTGCAAACTTCCAAAAATAGCGTTGATTCTTTTTTTTTTTTTTTTGGTTGGAACAGATAGGGTCGATTGGTTTCTTATTCGTGTTTCTTAATTATGAAAACGCATTGATAAGAAGTTTGGTAACTATTTCTTAGATATTCTTGAGTAGTATTTCCTTAGGCTCCGTTTGGAAAGAGTACAAATACAAATTTGTAGAGTGCTAAATCTTATATTGTATTATTTTATATGTATTTGTACTGTACATATTCGTATTTGTACTCCTAAGCTGAGCCTTAGGTGGAAATTAGTAGATCACGAGATAAGGTTATCATTGATTATGTTCTGTAAACATAAAGCATCTCAATAATACCTGGATTTTTGGATTACTTTCTCTTCTTCCCTGTTCTGATGAATTGGTTCTTGTATTGGGATCGAATTTGCAGGGAAATTTCAAATTGGATACAACATAAAGCCATTGAATCCTAAATCTGTTGCCAGTGTTGTTCACTATGGGAAGTTGAGATTTCCATTAAGTCATGAAGCTAGAGGAAACTCTCTTATTTACAACCAGCTTTATCCCTTTGAAGGCCTCCGGAATTACAGTTCAGGAATTATACATCATGTTCGTCTAACAGGTATATCTTTGTGAGAATTAGCTGAAAAAGAAATATGAAAAATAAAAAATGTAAACCTTTCCTATGGTGAAAGATTGCAATTTTAGACCAATTCCAAAAAATGTTGGATTATTTTGGCATGCTATGGATTTTATTCGTGTTTTTGTTTTCTCATATAATCTGGTTATGTGTTTGATGGTGAATTACTATCTAGTGTCTATATTAGCTAATTTAAGTATAGATTACACTTGAGGGGTATATTTAAACCGAATGAAAGTGGAAAATGTCCATGAAGCCAGCAGGATCAACCATTCAGAATTCAGGTAAGGTCATCTGAATTTTCCAAACCCAGGATCAACTATTGGCTGATCCTAACCATATGGTCTTTGGCCTTCTGCATGCTTAATTGCTAGTTGTAGAATAGAGGTAAGGGTAATTGGTCTTATTGCTTTCTCTTGTCTGAGTCCAAGTGTTTCTTATGGACTTCTGGTATTTTTGGGTAGAAATATGTTTAGAATATGCTGAATTGCTACGGAAGGAACAGGTTGCATCTTATCTTAGCATCAGAAACCTCTTTTCTTCAATTAAGAAGACATTTATTTTAAACAAAATGGCCTCAATGTTTATGAAATAGACAATTCACATAGCTAGATAAGGGAAGAAACAGTAGATTCATAAATTTCTTAACTATTGAAAATTTTGAAGAAGTTATATTTTAAGTTGACAATTGAGCTGAAAGTTTTTGTGTTTAACAAGGATCTATCATTTTTCTCTTTAATACCTGTTGTGTAACATTTACGTCCACTAGCATTCAGACAGAAATTGATGTGTCACGTAATGTGCATAGAATGAAACTCATACATTGCCAAAGAAGCCTTGCTGGTAATAAATTATATAGCCTCAATAAGAATCTTGCCAGCAAAGGAAAAAGAATTTTACCATCAAATATTGTTATTACTTATTTAACTAGCTAGGCAGAAATTTTTAAGTTTTCAGTGACTACACCTCTTTTTTTTTATGCTTTTCTGTAGGTTTGAAACCTGACACACTATATTATTATCGGTGTGGAGATCCTTCAATTCCAGCCATGAGTGATATTTATTATTTCAAGACTATGCCAATTTCTGGTCCAAAAAGCTACCCTGGAAGAATTGCAGTGGTGGGAGATCTGGGTCTTACATATAATACAACATCCACAATTGATCATTTGATCAGTAATAAACCAGATCTTGTTCTATTAATTGGTGATGTAACTTATGCAAATCTGTATCGCACAAATGGAACTGGGTCCGACTGCTACTCATGCTCATTTCCAGATACTCCCATACATGAGACCTATCAACCTCGCTGGGATTACTGGGGAAGGTGAAAATTGACATCATCATCTCTCTCTCTCAACACCACACAAACACCGCACACACAGTATATGTTGTGCTACTTATATCTTTATGTTTTGAAATGTGGTCTTGCAGAAATTTGAAATGTTTTCTGAGATACTGTCAGGTCTATTCTTCAGGTTTATGCAACCTCTGGTGTCAAGAGTTCCAATAATGGTTATAGAAGGAAACCATGAGATAGAAGAACAAGTTGAGAGCCGTACCTTTTCTGCTTACAGTGCTCGTTTTGCATTTCCATCTGAAGAAAGTGGATCTTTATCTACATTGTACTATTCATTTAATGCTGGGGGAATACATTTCATTATGTTGGGGGCATATGTTTCTTACAAGAAGTCAGGTAAAGAGGATCCAAGGTTCCAACTCTTCTCTCTATTATCTATTTAACTTCACATTTTGGAATGATTAGACAACTTGGGAAATTTCTTTGCTACAGTCTGAATATTTCTGGGAATATCTTTATGTTTTCTGATTGGGGTCTCATGAGTTTGGTAGCAATAGCATACATTAGCAAAAGATAATCATGCCCCCTGGAATCATAATACTGTATTTGTATTCATCTTATTGGCCCAAAATTTTCAATTTGCTTGGCCCGATCTCTTGGATGGGAATAGTCCAGAATTATCTTGTGGTTACTAGACATCCAGTCTATAGGGGTGGCTGGAAAAGTAAGTTGAAATTGTAGATTTATACATAATGCAGCTAGATATGCTGGTCTATGGCAATTCACTATTTTTTTTCTTTTATTCATATCATTATCTTTCATTTTGGATGTGATTCTGTTGATAAAGAATAGCCTAAAGTCCATCTGGAAACAAAGGTCATTCTGTTTCCTTTCTTTGTAATCCATATGCAACTCTCCAAGGTGACAGAGCAATTCTTCTGACCCTGTGAACAGAGTCAGAAAAGTTGGGAGTTGTTCTTTGAAGAGAAAGTCCAAAACCTTGGGAAACAGGACTTTTGTGAATGAGAATAATATGTATGCTACAACCAAGAGCGCCTCCCATCCAATGAATGATGTTTCGACCAAGTCATCCCTCTAGGTGCCAGGAATCCCATCTATAAAGCAGTCAAAGCCTGACCAATAGAAAAATATAGTGAATCAGAAAGGAAATATAAATAAATAAAGATTGAGATGTTATTTGCCTTTGGTGGTACATGTATCCAGATTTTTTGAGTAATGAATGAAGTTAATAGTTCCACTAACTACAGGTTACTACTCATTGAATAGTTCTAATTCTTTCCCATTACAGGGGATCAGTACAGGTGGTTGGAGGGAGACTTGGCTAATGTTAATAGATCGGTAACTCCATGGCTTGTAGCTACTTGGCACCCACCTTGGTATAACTCATACCAAGCTCATTACAAAGAAGCAGAGTGTATGAGGGTGGAGATGGAAGAATTACTATACTCTTATGGTGTTGACATAGTATTGAATGGACATGTAAGCAAACTTAATGCCCTTTTGTTTTTTATTTTTTTGATCAATAACACTTTCATTAATTCATCAGTAGAAAATTTACAAGTGGAAGACAAACACACTTATCTTCCAAGAGTCACAAAGAACTTCAGGAAAGGAAAGAAAAAAATACAAAGATACAAGGACACTAACATTACAACTTAGCCCAAAACAAGGAATCCCTTTCTGCCCCTTGTTTTGCTAAACCATCAGCTAGGGAATTAG